CTGGCCATGAGAAGGGGCTTACCTTCCCCTCTTCCCCTCCTTCCGCTCTCATTGCTGAGAGTCCTTGGGCCCTCTCTCCAGATGACCTCAGCAAGGCTCGTGGCTTCAAAGACTTCCCAAACGCCAACAGCTCCCAGAGGGCGTCTGCAGCCCGGACTGCCTCCTGGACACCTCCGCCTGCACGCCTTCCGCACAGCATCACCTCAGCCTGCTCCTCCTGCAGCCTGCCCCGCCTCAGCGAGGGGCAGCCCCATCCTTCCACGTGTGGGTGTGTGCTTTTTTAACAGTTTTAAAAATTGATTTTTAATTTTTAATTTTTTTATATTTTTCATTTTATTTTTTATTATATATATTTTTTAGAGAGAAACATCAATGTGAGGAGACATCGATCAGCTGCCTCCTGCACACCCCGCCCTGGGGATGGAGCCCTCCACCCATTCAGTGCAGGGATGACGCCCAGCCAGCGGAGCCACACTGGCCAGGCTTCCTTGTTCTACTCATGACCATATCCCCGGTGCCAGGACAGTCCTGGCACGTAGGTGCTCAACAAGGACGAGTGGATGGAGTGTGCTGCTCAGAAACGAGTGAGCTCCTTGAGGCAGCTCATTGAGATGGGGGCTGGATACCAAGGCAGCGGCTGCACGTCCAGGTAGCAGACGCCAAGGACGGGGCCTCCACAGGCCTCTGGGAAGATTGCTGCCCCAGGGCTGGACCCTGTAGCGTCAGCACCCTCCCCTTGGTCTGGTCTTTTGTACTCAGTAGCCCCGGTGACAATGCCCAGGGAGCCCAGGGCAGAGGCAGGGCACATCCAACATCACCCCATCTTCTCCCGCAGCCCAGGGGAGACCAGCTCCCTTCAGTTCAGGGCAGACGCTCACAGAAGCCCAGGCTGTGCTCCAGGTTCAGCCCTGGAGCCTGTGGAACTGCCCGGGCGCACAGCCAGGGCGGGGGTCCTCAGGGTGACCTGGGCTTCCGGCTGAACAGCACCAGCCTGGCTGAGCCCAGCCCCGAGTCCTGCTCTGGCCCTGCACCTTGGCAGCTACCCACCCGGCCCCTTGCTGGCGTCAGCTTGTTTGCCTCCAGGTTCTCCTTTTCGGGCTCCAGGGAGGGATGCGCAGCCTGGAGGGAGGGGGTCTCTAGCCAGGCCGGCTTTTTCTGACTCGGGCCAGCCCTCACTCTGGACCCCCAGGGCGGCTGTCCCCTCGAAGGGGGACTTTTATGGACAGTGATGCTGGCAGGGTGAGCTTGGGCCTCTGGCCCGGCTCCTCCAGTCTGGCCGTGTCAGGGATGGGCTGCAGCCCCCCTGAAAGCACAGGAAGGACACCCCCTCCCCCACCTCCTCTCACTCAGGACCCTTCTGGCTGCTGGGCCTAGATCTGGCCAGCCGCATCTCACTCTGGTCTGGGAGGCAGTGAGAACATTCTGGGCAACAGGAGCCAGTCCTCTCCTCAACGACCTGCCCCTGGAGGAGGCCAGCTTCGAACAGCCCTCACCAGGCCATGAATGTCATAAAGGCAATTGCAGGGGTTGCGGGAGGAGGAGGGATGTGTGGCAGGACGTGGGTGTCCTCACCCCCAGCGGAGGCACACGGCAGGCTCTCACTACAGACTGTCCTCTCCCCATGACCTGGGTTCCCCTCAGCACACCTCCCCGCCCCCCATGGCTCCTGTCCCGAGTCCTGCTCCAGGCACAGGTAGCAGCAAGGGTCCAGAGGGCTGTTCTCCCACATTCTCCGCCTCCTCCTGAGGGTGGGCGCCTCATGTTTCAGTGATGTTTTCCCAATAGTTCAAAGGTGTCTGTGCTGAGCCGAAACTGGTTTGGCTCAGTGGATAGAGCGCCGGCCTGCGGACTGAAAGGTCCCAGGTTCGATTCCGGTCAAGGGCATATACCTTGGTTGCCGGCACATCCCCAATGGGGGCTGTGCAAGAGGCAGCTGGCCGATGTTTCTAACTCTCTGTCCCTCTCCCTTCTTTTTTGTAAAAATTCAATAATATACATATATATATATATATATATATATATATATATATATTTTTTTTTTTTTTTTTTTTTAAGTGTCTGTAGCTGAAACCGGCTTGGCTCAGTGGATAGAGCATCGGTCTTCGGACTGAAAGGTCCCAGGTTCGATTCCGGTCAAGGGCATGTACATTGGTTGCGGGAACATCCCCGGTAGGGGGTGTGCAGGAGGCAGCTGGCCGATGTTTCTCTCTCATCAACGTTTCTAGCTCTCTATTCCTCTCTGTGGAAAATCAATAATATATATATATTTTAAAAAGTGTCTGTGCTGAGGAAGAGCCTACAAAACCTGTCTAAGACAAGGGAAGGTGCAATCAGGGTCTTCGGGACCCCCCCTCCCAACTGCTCCCCATCGCACTGACGTGGGCGCTCCCCCCAGGTGAGATGTGCCAACAGCGAGCACCATCGCTCTCACTCGGTGTGAGGCCGTTCTGAACACCACCCGTCACCTTCCCTTCACAACCCATGACGTAGATCAACCATGATCCCCCTTTACAGGTGGGGAAACTGAGCAGAGGGGGGGCCTACTTGCCCGTGGCCACACGGCCCTGCAAAGGCAGGACACCCAACTGGCAACCCGCCTGCTGGCCGGGATCTTGTGAAGGCAACCAAGCCGCACTCTCTGACACATCCCTCCGCTCCTGCCGCTGGCCTGGAACAGGGTCCCCAGAGCCAGGAGACAGAAACTGCCCAGTTCAAACCGGCACCCGCTGCAGCGCACCGCACCCCGCTCAGTAGTTGCCGCCCCGTGACGGCTGGGACTGGGTCCCCACATCTTCCCAGCCCACCTGCCATCTTCCCGCTGCTGCCTACCCCCGTTTCCTAAACCCACACCCAACTGTGCTGCTCAAAGTCCTTCAAGAGCTTCCCTTGCCTCGTTAAAAAACAAACAAACAAAAAAAAACCTTAACTGGGAGCCCCGCACTCAGGGCCAGTGAAGCGAGTCCCACCGAAGGGAGGAGCAGGTGAGGCAGGCGCCCAAGGAGCCATCCTGGCTGGTTGTCTTGACGGAAAATAGGCCCAGGAACTTCTCTCTACTTCCAGAAACATCCAGGCTGGCGAGCCAAGTTGTATTTGCAAGACGGGAAACCGAAACTGGCTTGAATAACGCCCCCAAGTATCCGAAGTGAGACCCATGTCCGCCCGCCCCCCCCCCCCCCCCCCCCCCCGTCTCTCCGTGCGGGGAAGGAGGCGGCCTGCGCAGACACGCGGGAAACCTGCGCCCACCCCGTCTGGCATCTGAGATCCGTGTAATGAACTCCCACCCACGTTCCCCCCAAACAGGCCAGGAAGGGCTGCGGAAAAAAGATGTCCCTTTAATAAAACGTTATCAACATATATCGTACACAAACTACAATGTATCATAATTACTTTTTTTTCTTTCCTCTCTTAATTCAGAACCAGACTACAAGGTAAGAAAAAACACAGAAACAGCTACAATGTTCCCAAGAATCCGCACAAGGTCTCTTTTCAGGCAGATGATATCTCACATAATATGATATACATGGATCAGAAAGGGGAGAAACAAAGACCAGCTACGGGGAGGGCGCGGGGAGCAAATGTACAAAGAATTCGGGTGTCTCCGGGGCCAGACACGGAGGTTCCCACGGGGGTGCCGAGGTGAGGGAGGCCGCGCCCCCCTCCTGCGAGGAGGGGACAGGCTCCACGGTCGCGCGTGTCGGTTTTTGAAAATAAAAACAGGACCGGAAACAGCGTGTCTGTGCGGTGGCTGGTGTCCCCCCACCCCCACAGCGACCCCAAAGTCTGTCCTCCGTTCGGTTCCAAGCATAGGCAGAGCAGTTCTGGTCAGTATCCCGTTTTTTAAAAAAAGGGGGAAGAATCAACAGGAAAAAAAAAAAAAAGAAAGAAAAACCCCCTAAACTCCAGCACAGGCCGAGGACGTGAGGGCCGGGGGGAAGTCGGAGGTCACAGTTTCCACGTCCCAGTCATGGCCATCCCGTCAGGGGTGGGCTCCGGGCTCTTCAGACCCCCCAGCGGCAGGCTTCTCACGGGGAAGACGGGGTGGGGCTGAGGAGGGGCTGCAGGGGGCGCCCCAGAGGCAGCGGCGGTCCTGGGAGCACAGAGCACGCCACCACCGGCTGTGGGCGGCAGCAAGCGCATCTCCGCCTGGTGGAGTCCTGAAAGCCTGAACCGGGTGGCCGAGCCCTCCCTCGGCCACAGAGTGGGGTGGGGGGCATTCTGGGGTCCCAGCGGTGCAGCTGCTGTGGCCACCTTGCCCAGGAGAAACTAAGCAAAAAAAAACACAAAACAAAATAGTCCCCGCCCCTCCCCAGCCCATCTGCGCCAGCCAAAAACACTCCGATGGAAAAGGGCGGCTTCCTTCTGCTTTCCAAAAAAGGCCCTTGGAAAGAAACCATGATTGTAAACGGCCCAGTTTATTATTATCATCATCGTTATTATTATCTTCAGGTGGCTACAAAGACAGCGTGGGGTCGCACACGGAGACGGGCTTGGGTACAGGCAGCGGGGCTTGGTGGTGTTTTTTTTTGTCCTTTTTTTTTTTTTTTAAAAGAAGAAAGCAAAGAGGTTGTTTGGGGTGAAATGGGGTGGGGGTTTGCTAGAAGCTTCCTTTTTTAAAAACTGCCCCCCCTCAACCCCATCCCCGGAAAACAAATAAAAAATCCCAACAATGGTAAAACCCAAACAAAAGACAACAAAAAAGTGTCATGTACATAAAAGATCCTTTTGGGAAAGGGCGAGGGGTGGGGTTTTTCTGGTCAATGACTTGAAATATATTTTTATTTTGAGCTTTGTCCTTCATGTTTTATGGAATAAAAAGTTCGGCCTTTTTATTGCATGAAACTAAAATGGGGGGAGGTGGGGGAGCGGAGAGGGCGGGCGAGGGGGAGCGGCGGTGCCCCACCCCAGCTCCTGGGCAATGACACCTCACTTCTTCTTGCATAATTTCTGGCATCTTCCCGCCTGCAATGCCGGCTCCCTCAGCATCGTGGAGAAGAGGGGGGTCACACACTCATCGTCATGCTTGGAGAATACTGGAGGGAGAAGCAGAGGAGGGGGCGTGAGGGCCGGGCAGTGGGGGTCTCGTGGAGGGCTGACTGACTGCAGAGGCGGACGTGACCAGCTGGAGGCCTGGCTGGGCTGCGACTGGCGGATGCCGGGTGGGCAGGGGGCTGGCAGGGCCAGGAGGCGTCTCTCAGCTGCAGCCTGGGCCTGTCAGGAACTCTGGAGGCAGACTCACCCCCCCATCCAGCTGAAGAGGCAGGCGCCCTTCCCTGCGCTCCCCGCCCCAGGCTGCAGCTGGCTGTCCGCAGCCGGGCAGGCACAGGGCTGCAGAGGACAGGGAGCTGAGCCAGGGTGCCCCGGCGTGGGAGCCTGTCTGGGGTTCCCAAAAACGGCTTAACCACCAGGCTGTTCCTTCAAATAAGACCGTGGACAGAAGCAGGACGTGGAAGAGCTGGCTAGCCCCTCTGCAGCGAGAGCTCAGGACGGCACTGTCTGCAGGAACCTTCCTCCCCAGGACAGATGCAAACGAACAGGGTGGATTAGGACCCAGTGGGCCAGAGCCAGGCTGCCCGCCCCGCCCCGCCCCTCCCAGCCATCAGCTCAACCAGAGCCACGGCACTGAAGGCCTGGGCCTCCAGGACCACCTGCTGGGGGGCAGACTCAGGCGGCCGGCAGGGGTCAGGGCACACAGGAGGGCAGGAGGCGAGACCCACCACAAGGCTGCTAGGCCCGGGCCGTGGGTGGGTCTTGGCAGGAAGGAGGCTCTGAAGCGGTGCAGCCCCAGCCCCGGGGACCAGTGCCGCCCGGGAGGACACGGGGCGGCGGCACTTACGTTGTCGTTCTGGAAGGAGTGGAGGAAGTTCCCGCCCAGCTCGCCGTCGTCTCGCGGGGTGCCTGGAGGATTGCTAATGCCACTTATGTTGTTGGGAGAATTCTGCAGGGAGAGGAGCAGAGGTCAGCCCCGCGGGGAGGAAGGTTTTCTGGGGGAAGGGGCGGGGGTGGGGCACAGGGCGGCGTGTCCAGGGAGGAGACATCACACACTCACTTTTGGAAGTCCATCTATGTCACCTGACCCTGGAAGCAAGAAAAAATCCCGTTCAGGCTCCTCCCGCTCTTCCGTGGAGGCCCCCCCCCCCCCCAGCCCCACACTGTTTCTGTGCCCAGGACTTTCTCAGGTCTCCCCGTGGGCAGGGGCTGCTGGAGGGGCTGTGGGCAATGGGTGCCGGGGCTGTGGGCAGAGGTGGCCGGGGCTGTGGGCAGGGGCGGCCGGGGCTGTGGGCAGGGGCGGCCGGGGCTGTGGGCAGGGGCGGCCAGGGCTGTGGGCAGGGGCGGCCGGGGCGGCCGGGGCTGTGGGCAGGGGCGGCCGGGGCTGTGGGCAGAGGCGGCAGGGGCGGCCGGGGCCGTGGGCAGGGGCGGCCGGGGCCGTGGGCAGGGGCGGCCGGGGCTGTGGGCCGGGGCTGTGGGCAGGGGCGGCCGGGGCTGTGGGCAGGGGCGGCCGGGGCTGTGGGCAGGGGCGGCCGGGGCTGTGGGCAGAGGCGGCAGGGGCGGCCGGGGCCGTGGGCAGGGGCGGCCGGGGCCGTGGGCAGGGGCGGCCGGGGCCGTGGGCAGAGGTGGCCGGGGCCGTGGGCAGGGGCGGCCGGGGCTGTGGGCAGGGGCGGCCGGGGCTGTGGGCAGGGGCGGCCGGGGCTGTGGGCAGGGGCGGCCGGGGCTGTGGGCAGGGGCGGCCGGGGCTGTGGGCAGGGGCGGCCGGGGCGGCCGGGGCTGTGGGCAGGGGCGGCCGGGGCTGTGGGCAGAGGCGGCAGGGGCGGCCGGGGCCGTGGGCAGGGGCGGCCGGGGCCGTGGGCAGGGGCGGCCGGGGCCGTGGGCAGGGGCGGCCGGGGCCGTGGGCAGGGGCGGCCGGGGCCGTGGGCAGGGGCGGCCGGGGCCGTGGGCAGGGGCGGCCGGGGCCGTGGGCAGGGGCGGCCGGGGCCGTGGGCAGGGGCGGCCGGGGCTGTAGGCAGGGGCGGCCGGGGCTGTGGGCAGGGGCGGCCGGGGCTGTGGGCCGGGGCTGTGGGCAGGGGCGGCCGGGGCTGTGGGCCGGGGCTGTGGGCAGGGGCGGCCGGGGCTATGGGCCGGGGCTGTGGGCAGGGGCGGCCGGGGCTGTGGGCAGGGGGGCCGGGGCTGTGGGCAGGGGCGGCCGGGGCTGTGGGCCGGGGCTGTGGGCAGGGGCGGCCGGGGCTGTGGGCAGGGGCGGCCGGGGCTGTGGGCAGGGGCGGCCGGGGCGGCCGGGGCTGTGGGCAGGGGCGGCCGGGGCGGCCGGGGCTGTGGGCAGGGGCGGCCGGGGCTGTGGGCAGAGGCGGCAGGGGCGGCCAGGGCCGTGGGCAGGGGCGGCCGGGGCCGTGGGCAGGGGCGGCCGGGGCCGTGGGCAGGGGCGGCCGGGGCCGTGGGCAGGGGCGGCCGGGGCCGTGGGCAGGGGCGGCCGGGGCCGTGGGCAGGGGCGGCCGGGGCCGTGGGCAGGGGCGGCCGGGGCTGTAGGCAGGGGCGGCCGGGGCTGTGGGCAGGGGCGGCCGGGGCTGTGGGCCGGGGCTGTGGGCAGGGGCGGCCGGGGCTGTGGGCCGGGGCTGTGGGCAGGGGCGGCCGGGGCTATGGGCCGGGGCTGTGGGCAGGGGCGGCCGGGGCTGTGGGCAGGGGGGCCGGGGCTGTGGGCAGGGGCGGCCGGGGCTGTGGGCCGGGGCTGTGGGCAGGGCGGCCGGGGCTGTGGGCCGGGGCTGTGGGCAGGGGGGCCGGGGCTGTGGGCAGGGGCGGCCGGGGCTGTGGGCAGGGGGGCCGGGGCTGTGGGCAGGGGCGGCCGGGGCTGTGGGCCGGGGCTGTGGGCAGGGCGGCCGGGGCTGTGGGCAGGGGCGGCCGGGGCTGTGGGCAGGGGCGGCCGGGGCGGCCGGGGCTGTGGGCAGGGCGGCCGGGGCTGTGGGCCGGGGCTGTGGGCAGGGGGGCCGGGGCTGTGGGCAGGGGCGGCCGGGGCTGTGGGCCGGGGCTGTGGGCAGGGCGGCCGGGGCTGTGGCCAGGCCTTGCTGAGCCGGGAGCGGAGGCAGAGGCCGGGCAGGGCTCACCTAGCGATCCGTTCATGTGGTGTGGCTCCATGCCGCCCATGCCTCCCATCGGGCCGTCGGAGCCCGGGCCCATCGGGAACTGAAAGAAGCAGAGACGGTGGCTGAGCGGCCGGCGGCCGGCCACGGGGGGCTCCCACTCCGGGGCTCCTCTCTGCTGGCTATTACGAGTAACACCATGAGTGACGCGGGGCGTCTGTGTACGGTCACTGTGGGCACACATTCCCTCTCCCCGGCAGAGACCTGGGCACGGACCGGACCTTCGGCAGGACGGCCGCCCGGATGGCTGCCCGAGCGGCCGCAGCGCCAGACACGCCCACCGGGGGCGCAGGGCTCCCTCTCCTCCCGTCTGGGACAGCCACCCTCCTGGGGAGAAGTGGGATCTCTCGTCGTTTTCCTTTGCACGGAGCAATGCTGAGCGTCATTTCATTGTTTATTTGTTCTTCTTTGTAGAAATGTCTCTTCAGACCCTCGGTCCATTTTTTAACTGGGTTTTTTAAAAAATGACCGAGTTTTAAGAGTTCTTTACATTTTAGCTTCAAGCCCCTCACCAGACGTGTGATTCCCAGTGTCTTCCCTCTGTGGTTGATGGGTCTGTGGAAGCGCGCAGTTGTGTTGACGGGTCCAGCGCAGCTCGTTCTCTCGGCCCGCGCTTTCCTCCCCCGGACAGCCTCAGCTCTGCCATCGGCCTCAGCTCTGCCGTCAGCCTCGGCTCTGCCATGAGCTGGTGTGAGAAGCAGTCCTTCCCCCGGGAGTCCTTGCATCTGTACACTCGACAGAGGAGCTACCAGCTCCGAGGTCCGTCACTCCTAACCCCCCTCAGCACCCTGCCCACAGCAAGCACACATCTCCTTCTCAGGGGAAATGGTTTCAAAGCAGAAAGATAATGGGCATGTGAGACCAAAGTCTGATTCCAATTAAGTTACAGTTCTAATAAGGAAACTGATAAAGTCCTGTTTCTGGGGGCGGCCCTTCCTGGCGACGTGTTTTGAGTCCCCAAGCGTCACGTCGAGGTCACAGGGGGCTTTGTGCAGCCCCCCCCCCCCCCAGTTCCCCTACCCATGACACGAAACATCCAGGCCCCTCACGGACTCTGCACAGACCCTCCGGCGGTTCTGGGGACGCAGCCCGTTTCCTTTTCGGTATAACTCCTTTCTCCATTCTCATCTCAGTGCTTTTCCTAATCAGAGAAGGACAGCACAGCTGGCCGACATTTTAGCACCTTCCCTACAGCCAGCAACGAAGACAGCCATCCTGCGGGCAGGGGTCTGAGGCTCTCGGTTTCTGTAAAAGTCAAAGCCTCATTAACAGCACCTGCCTGCTTCGAGGAGACGGACAAGTGAGCAAACGCTCCGTTACCTCTGGAGGCCTCACTCACAGGCGAGCTGTCCGTCCGCGGGAGCAGCGTGGGGGCGGGGGGGGACCAGGACCCGGAGCAGGAACGCGGTTCACAGACGCGGTGGAAGCTGCCAAATCACCTGCGTGCCGCCTGCCAAGAACGCAGGCCAGAGAGCAAAGTCCAAGTTTGTATTTGGGCGAGAGAACAGCAATCTTTGATTTGCATCTTCTTCGAAGGCCTCGAGACCACGACTTAAAGCTCCGATGGTTCAAGTGAAAGTGTCCCGGGCCTGCGGCCGGGCCCGCGTCCACCACGTCACCTCCTGCAGGGAGCTCACCGCGTGCTGGCAGGATCTCACGAATCGGCGCCACACAGAAAGGACGACCCCGCTTGTCTCCAAACCCGCCCTGTCGCCGGAGGACCCAGCGGCCTCCGCCTCCGCCTCCGCGCATCGCCTGCTCCGTTCAGGGCCATGTGGTGAAGGCCCTTCGGGCTGCGTCGACAGCACACGGCTGCTCTCTTCTTGACTGAGCCTTGGGGTCTCCGTGGAGGATGCACAAAACTTCTGACTTAGAAGGCTGTGCGGGTCTCTTCCCAGCCTCGGGCACTTGTCTCCAATGTGCTTCGCAGCCATGCCCAGTCACACCCCCTCTGTCTGGTGGTTGGTTCCCCTCCCTGATCCAGCGGAGGGTGTCCTCCCATCTGTCCTTAAGGTAACTCGGCCGTTCTGTCTTTTCCCCAGTGGCGCCGGGATCCTATGGCATGGGCATCCTTCTCCTTTTTTATCATCTGGACTTTTTAAAACACGGTCCCAACGCTCACAGCGTGAGAACGGTACCTGCCATCAGAGCCACAGGGGGCGCCATGGGGGGGGGTGGGGGGAGCCGTGACTGCGGCACTGGAGCCGCACCCCTGGGAGCCACAGGTCGCCAGGGGCAGACCCAGGTCAGGAGGAACCGTGGGGGGAGGGAATGGATGCCATTTCCATGGGATACTGATCAGGGCGCTGGTCCCATCTTGGCCGCTGTATAGTCTCAACTTCCTGCCCAGTGTCTGCAGCCACAGCCATAAACCGAGGCCCCCTGTGTCCTGGGGTGTCGTCCCGGACACAAGGCTTTTAGAGCGAAAATCCGATGGCCGTCACCCTCGTGGGAACCAGGGATGATGAGGCGGGTGGTGGGAGGTGCTGAGGGGAGGGAGGGGCGAGGGGCATCAGGTGTGATTCAGGTTTGCTCCACTGTCCCTGGTCACGGACCCTCTTGGCACCCGAGGCGGCGGCCACGGACCCTCACCAGAGGCTGCGAGAGCTCAAACACATGCCGTGGCCAGCGTGGGGCCGCGCCTGCAGAGCTCAGCACCCGGGGTGGTCTAGAGTCACATTAAGAACCGAGCCAACAAGACCAAACAGAGCACCCCCAAAGCCATAGACGATCTGGGGGTCTCAAGCCCACCCTCTGGCTCTGTGTCCACGGACTCGATGTCACAGGCAGCCTCCTTCCCACACCGAGCCACAGGGGGCAAGGCGGGCTGGGCTCGCCTTCCAGGCTGGTGTGGGAGGGCCGCCTGGAGGAGCCGGACCGGCACTGTCCTCGGGCTCCCAGCTGGAGCGGGACCGGCTCCGGCCGCATCCAGCCCCACGTGACACGGACTGAGGGACAGGGAGGGCGACGAGAAAAGGTAGGATTGGAGCTGCAACAGCACTGAACGTGGGAACTTTGAGAGGCCAAGAGGGAGAGGGGGGCTTCTTGCCGGGGGAATGGCCTCGAGAGAGGCAAAGAGGTGCTCGGTGTGAGGGCCACGGGGCTCCCCCAGGAGACGGAAGCACAGGCGGCAGGTCCCTGAGCGGGCAACGGGCTCCTGCATGGCCAAGTAAACGGACACGGGAGGGTGTGGCACGGCCCAAACCCCACCTGCAGCCGGGGCTTTCCGGCACCAACACCCCACCCAGGCGGCAGGTCCCCACAGAGGGCACCTGCTCTGACCAACATGGGGCCATCGCTCCATCCCCTTCTCTCCCGGCCCCTGGCGGCCGAGGTGGGAACGGAGGCGCCCGAGAGTTAATCACTTTTCTGACGGTTTGTTTTATTCATCTTTGGAAACAAATGGCTGAAATCAATTAAACTCGCTCTCCCCTCAGCTGAGGAGGCTAATTATGATTTGTTATGGTATCTGATATGCAAATGGCGAGAAAGCGGACTTACGTTGGACCGGCTGCCTCCGGGCGGCACCGGGTTAATCATTGTGTAGATGTTGTCACTGGAATTCGTTGAATCTGTAGAACAGTGGGAACCCGCAAGTCGGGGTGATTAATTCGTTCCTTAATTAAAACAAACTCGTGGCACTTGAACTCGTGCTTTTGTATTTTATCACCTAAAATTTTCTTTTAAGTACCGCCATTTTCTGGCTAATTTGTATTTAATGAAGATTCACAAAGTTTTTAATCACAGAAAACTCAACTGTGTAAACTGCTCAACCCTGAAATGAAGACTTCCGGGGTGTATGGACATCTGGACAGCAGTGCGGACAAGGCAAAGGGGATGGGAGGGTTACAGGTCCCAATTCTTGCTCCCTGGCTGGGACGATGCGGGGCAGCCAGATCGCCACCTGTGCCCTCCCTAGCCCTGTCCAGCAGTTTTAATCAAATCAGGGAAAGAGAAGCACCACATGTCACCCAGGGGCCGCCCTGCCAGGCTGGGGGGCCAGGGGGGAGAGGCAGGGCCGGGCAGGAGCCACATTAGCATATGGAGAGGTTTAACGTGACCCAGTCTGAATGTAGGTCATGCCGCTCATAAAAATGCAGCAGCAGAAAGGAGCGGAGCGGGAGCTGGAACATCACGCCTGTGCCCGCCAGCTCCACCCCTGCAGCCGAGAGCTTCCCGCTCTGGGGAGCCGAGAGGGGAGGGTGGGAGAGAGGGACCCCTCCGTCTCCCCAGTTAGCCAGAAAGATCTCCTTTGGAAACCAGCTAGCGTGTTTATATAAGGAGCTGGCCCCATGTTCTTCAGGCAGAAACCCAGCCACCTCTCCCTTTTTATTTCTGGGTGGGTAAGGGCTGCGTGTTGAACTCCTCGCTGGCGGCATGCTATTCTTAGCTGAGAGACACACAGGATGCTGTGCGTGTGCTGTCTGCCCCCCTCTGGTTAAAGGAAAAGGGAGAAGGGGCCTCCTACAGAGAGGACCAGGCACAGAGTCCTGGGCTCCGGCTGCCAGAATCCAAAAGCCCCTTCTCACTCATCTGGAGAAAAGCACCATCGGGCAGGGGTCCCTCAGACCACGGGAGCCGGGCCAGCGAGACCCTTGTCCCGGACCGCCCTGCTCTGCTCGTCCCTCAACCTGAGAGGAGCTGTGACCTGGCTGAGGCCACACAGTGGTTTCGAGCAACAGGGACCTCACACCCGATCAGGACGCCAAGATGATCTGCGGAGGGTGCCTGCTCGGGAGACGCTGGCAAGCTCTGCCTCTGCACTGTGCCCCCCAGGACTCCACCCTGCAAAGGCAACCCCCCCCCAAAGCCCTCACCTGCAGGACTAGGCATGATGGGTGTTCCTGGGGGGCCACCACCGCCAGGAGGTCCCTGGAGATGAGACAAAAACTGACATCAGTAACCCGGGGTGGTGACATGCGGGCGAGGCCACCGAGCTCTGGCCAGGACAGCAGCCAGCGCTCACTGGGCCCAGCCGGCAGCGCTCACCGGGCCCAGCCGGCACTCAGCTCTCGCTCACCCTCCATCACACACACGAGCCCGCCTGTCTGAGCCTCAGGGGACTAGATGTGGACCCTCTCCTTTCTTTCAACCAAGGTGTGTGTGTGTGTGTGTGTGTGTGCATGCCCATGATCAGTGAAACCAGAAACCTGTGCTGGAAGCCACCCACCCACTAGCCAGCCCCCAGATGGGGATGCCAATTCCAGGGCTTGCTGGGAACTCGGGGACCAGCCGAAGGCACAAACTCCAGAAGAACGACAGGAAGTTCTAGCACAGCTGGAACCTGTGCTCCGATGTGTTTTGAAAGTGAAAAGTCAGGGCTCCCTGAAGCTCAGTCACACGTGGCTCGACACGCAGCACCCAGACGCACAAACACTTACCACGTAGGTACCGGGTGATGAGGAGGAGTATGGAATCTAGAAGTGAGAGACAGGAGCACGTGTCAGAGTCACTTCCGCCAATAGGCAGCACTTTCTGGCTTCCAAACCCACTTGGGGAACACGACCCATTCTTGCTGGGACTGGCTGTGGCACCCACTGAGCCAGGGGCAGGGGTGCGAGCCGAGTCCAGCTCCTGCCCCGAGCTGATCCTGAGACCCTCCCGGGGAGCCAGGGGGCCTCCAGCTCCAGAGGCAGGACAGCAGGGACGCTGCCCCGCGCCTCTATGCTTCTCCCTGGAGTCTGTGCGTGGCCCTTCCCGCCCGCTCCTCTGAGAGCTGGTCCTGCAGGAGCCTCCGTGCGAAGGTGCTGGGAGCCCAGCTCTCAGTTCACACCCGTTTCTGCGGAGAGTGGGGTGGGCTGGGCTGCGCAGGGCCGAGCCCAGGACAGCCCCGCACGCCACTCCCGCGCTCGCACCCATGGACGGGCTTCTCCTGAAGGCGTCAGGCAGAGACCTGCTGTGTCTCCCCTCCAACCTGGGCACAGGAACCACCCTGCACCTCAGAATCCCTTCCCTGGCAAACACACCCACGTGACCTGGTACTCACTGAGTTAGCACTGTTAGGATTGGGCCAGGGTCTGCCAGCTCCCGGGCCCCTGACGGAGGGAGAGAGAGACGGAGACAATGAAAACCGTGCCGTCGACGCCAAGGGGTGGTGCCAGCAGGGGCAGAGTGAGAGGGCTGAATGACTAACAGGACGTCCTGCCTACCAGCCCAGGGCCTGAGGGTCCAGCGGGGTCTGGGGGGTTGTAATGGGTAGTTAGTTCCATGGGTAGAAATCTACACACTCCTTAAGTTACATGGAAAACCTGTGAAGTACATAAAACCTCCTCTGCACGTGCGCTTGCCTAGGAGGAGGGGGTTTCTTACCCCCATCACTGCAGAAGGGTTAAGAAACACGGAAGCACTAGAACAGCCGTTCAGGGGTTCAAATCTGGACCCTTCTACTTGGTGCTGTGTGAGCCTGGGCAAGTGGCTTTGCCTCTCTGTGCCTCAGTTACCTCCCCTGTGCACGGTAGCTAACATGACCGCCTCGAAGGGCTATTGCGAAGAGCTGGCCAGCTATGCCGTGTAACGTGCTGAGCACGTACAGCCCCCAGGACTGGGCGCAGCATTCTCGCTGCACAGACGAGGAGACTGAGGCCCAGAGAGGGGCCATAATGACGGGAGTCAGTGTCCCTGGAGGGCACTGAGGGTGGAAAGCCGTGGCTCTGAGCCGCTGGCGGGTCACTTTGCCTTACATGTTAATCCCGGGCATGGCGGGGCCGAGGGAGTTGGGTGGTGGTCTCATGCCGCTGCCGTAATTCTGCAACGATAACCAAGGGTCAGTCTATGAGAAGGAGACGGGGAACCGGAGAGAGAGAGAGAGAGAGAGGGAGGGAGGGAGGGAGGGAAACAGACAGAATATAAGTGAGAGGGTTAGTCCGTGAAGAGAATCTGATGAGCACAAATCACACATTTGTTTTAAAAAGGTGGAGGGAGGGTGGGAACCAGGTGACAGGATCACGATGATAAGCCAGCACAGAGGGACAGTCACAGCTTTACAGGCAGCTTCGGGCTTCCAGGGGTTCTCTCAAAAGCACAAGGACGGACGAACGGACGGACGGACAGACGCCAAGCAAGCCCTCACATCTCTGTGCTCCGGGTGCCGATGGGCCCATCCCCCTCAGGTCCAGGCAGGGAAAGGGAAATGGACTTGAGATCTGACTGGGAAGTGCCAGCACCTCGGACACAACCAGGGAGGGCTGCTGGGGCCTGGGCTGGGGCTGAACGTGGAGGGAAGAAACACTCCCAAAAAGCCTGCAGCTGTCCCAAGGCCTGGCATGTCAGACACCCCCCGCCCCAGCCTGGGTGTGCCCCACCCCCAGACCAAGTAGCTTAACCCAGGTGCCAGCATGTGGGGCCTCTCCAGGCACAGTGCCCCGAGCAGGTTTCTACTTCAGAAGGAATCCAGGTTCTGTTTGAGAGAAGAGTCCAGACAGAATCTGGAAACTCCCAGGAGTCCCAGCCCAGCTCAGTCCAGCATAGAGGCAGGTGGGACGGTCCACAAGAGCACCTGACTCGGCACCCAGAACTTCCACGGGGCTCAAGTCCTGTCACAGACAGGCCTGCCTCCCGCCTCCACCGGGTGGGCTCCTACACACCCTCCAAAACCCAGCTCAGACCGCACCGCCTCTGGGAAGCCTTCCCTGCCCCACCCCCTGGGGTTAACTGCTCTGTCTTACTCCCATAATGCCTTGCACTCCCCTCCTCCACTCTGGGTTACGATCACGACCACATGTCCATCTCCTGCGTCTGAATGGCCTGCCCTGCCCCTCCCTCCCGGCAGCAGGGGGCACACCAGGTGCCGAGTCCATCAGGGAAGGAGTGAAGGGAAGTAAAACGAGCCTGGCTGTGCTTCAGCTGTCCTGTAGCAGAATCTGAAAGTCAGCTGGTAGAACTGGCGGCACAGGAACAGCCAAGCTGAGCTGTTCTCCCCTGAGCACACAGCAAGCTTCATACAGTCTCAGGCTTAGTCCTTAGAACCATGCCTCGGGGCTGGGATTATCCCGTTCCGCAGAAGAGGAGCGGAGGGTCTCGGGGAAGAAAGATCTGCCCAAAGTCAGGCAGTAAATGACACAGCCGGGTTTCACCCTGGTCCGCAGCCTCCGGAGTCACCCTCTGCCACACATGGGAGGGCCGGTGGGGTGGGTGAAGGGGAAGTCTGAGCCAGAGCTGCCAATCAGAGCCAAGCCCAGGCTGCTGCTCAGCTCTTCAGCCAGGCACCCCTTCCCAAAACCGCACTGCCGCGGCCACCTCCTCTGCCGGGTCCCAGGGGGCGTGGAGGCCAGCAAAATGCCCCGAGAGGGCATGGACAAGGACAGGAGCAGCCCAGGCGGCTGGCGATGAGCAGGGCCTGGAGGTGGGGGAGGCAGGACAGCCACAGAGGGACCCCTCGCAGCCAGCACTCTTCTTTAAAAGTTTTATTTCTTAATCCTCACCCAGGGATAGTTTGTCCACTAATTTTTAGCGAGTGGAAGGGCAGGAGGAAGGAGGAGGGGTGGAGGGAGGGAGGGAAACACTGGTGGGAAAGAGACACATTGACTGGTTGCCTCCCAACAGGAGCCGGGAATAGAACCCACAGCACTTCAGTGTGTGGGCAACACTATGGCCACTGAGCCACACCAGCCACGGCCAGCCAGCACTCTTAAAGCCCGCCTCCCACACGCCTGATCAGGGCTGAGAAGGTGTGCGCCGGCCCTCAGGCACACAGTGGAGGCTCCAGGGACATGCGGGGGCCGGGCCCACTCTACAGAGGTGTCAGGGGCGGTGAGGAGAGCCACGGATTTGGGGTCAGAACACAGGGGAGGTTAGCACCCGGGCTCAGCCACTTTGGGCACACTACACAAAGAACGATAACGCTCATCTGTGCCAGGTTGTGCTATGTACTTTTTAGCACTTACATGCATCACTCACAACCCCATTCCATCTCATTCTAAAGATGAAAAAACTGAGACACAGAAGCAGAGTGACAGTGCCTCTCGCAGCTATGCCAGCATCAGAGCTGGGACTGGGCTGCCTCGTCCACAGACTGGAGACAAAGAACGGCCAACCCAACAGGGCCCGTGAGCAGCAGACGAGATGCTGGCTCCGAAGTGCCACAGTCCTCAGTGGACCCGGACCCGGGAGGTGGGCAGCAGAACCCTGCCGAAGCCCCTAATCCTGCCTAAGCACCACAGAACCTCAAACCCTTTCTAAGCCCCTCGTGCAGCTATGCAACTCCCTCCACAAATCTCAGCCTCATTTGGGCTCCTCCAGAACAGAGAGGAAAGAGGAGAGAGGAGAGAGGAGAGAGGAGAGAGGAGAGAGGAGAGAGGAGAGAGGAGAGAGGAGAGGAGAGGAGGAGAGAGAAGAAGATGAGAGACGAGGAGAGGAGGAGAAAGAAGAGGAGAGGAGGAGAGAGAATAAGAGGAGAGAAGAGGAGAGGAGGAGAGAGAAGAGGAGAGGAGAGAGAAGAGGAGGAGAGAGGAGAGGAGGAGAGAAGAGGGGAGGAGAGAAGGGGAGGAGAGAGAGAGGAGGAGATGAGGAGAGAAGATGGGAGAGAGGGAAAGAAGAAGGGGGAGAAGGGAGAGGGGAGAGGAGAGGGGGGAAGGAGGGAGAGGGAAGGGGAGAGGGAAGAGGGGAGAGAGGAAAGGGGAAAGGGGAGAAGAGAGAGGGAAGAGGGGAGAGAGGGGAGGGGAGAGGGGAGAGGAGAAGGTATCTGTCTTCCAGGGGCCGAAGCTGCTGTGTCCTGTTCCCTCCCACCAGGAGAGCACTGCACTTGGAGCAGAATCGGGGAGGAAGGCCTGGGCGGGGGAAGCCCAGGGCACCGCCACACAGTACGAGATGACAGCAGGGTGCTCACTCCCTAACAACACCTGAAGCATGCACCCCCCCAGGGAGGGCCGGGGCACCACCTGTGCCCCTGCCCCGGCCCCGCCAAACAGCCAGCAGGGCTGCTTCCTGGAGGGCCCGTGCCCACCAGGTCCTCTCTCCTTGGGAAGCAGGGACCCAGAGGGCCACGCACACTCCCCGTTTCACAGACGACAAGCCGGAGGACCAAGGAGGCCAGAGACTCGCCCAGGGCCCCGTGGTAAGTCACAGGGAAAGTAGGGCCAAAAGTGAGGTTTGGGGGAAAGAGAGGGAAACACCAGAACAGGCTGCCGTTGGAGTGGGCTTGCCTTTTAGGCTCAGGGCCAGAGAAGACAAGGCCTCCCTGAGCTGTCCCTATCACCAATGCAGCCCCCGAGAAGGCAGGGGCTGGCCTGCTGTCAGCACAATGTGGGGTTTGGGGCGCAGAGACCCTCTTCCTACAAAAGGGAGGGGTGTGTGTGGAGGATGCTACTCCAGCCCCAGGGAATAGAAACCAAACATCTGGGAGGGGCCAGAAAACCCAAACACCTCCAGGCAGGTGGGAGGGAGAAGCAGGTGCCAGGGCAGGGCAGAAAGGGAAGGACCACCCACAACCAAGCCTTCCGCCCTCACTACGGGAACTCCACCCCTTATCCCAGCTTCCGGCTTCCTTCCGGCTCTTCCTGAGGGGAGGACAGAGCACCTGCCACCACTCCTGCAGGAGCAGCCACCTTCCAACACCAAGAGTGGGAGCCAAGCTCGAGAAGGCTCTGAAATGGGTGCCTGCTGGCTGGGGGCCGTCCCTGTGCAGGCCATGGAGCTGGGTCACAGAGAGCGGGCACTGAGTTCTAACTGAGAGGCAGACAGGGCACTTGGGCTTATGACACAGGCAGAAGCTCTGGGCTGAAGTGAGCTGGGCCTGGGCAGCCTAGCCTCCTCCCCCCTGGAGGCTCTGCAGAGAAGGGTGAACACAGACTCCCTCCCTCCTGCTGGACGGGGGAACAGAGGCCCACAGAGGAGGACCTGATCTCCGTGGTGAGCCGGAAACAGCTAGGACAGCGCGGCTCGTCTGTCCCGCCTTTGGGTCATGCTAAGCGGTGACCCTTGCATCAGCTCAAGTCCACCCACCCAGGACGGGAGGCGGCTCTGGGATGCCTGGAGGACCAACCACTGCCTGGGTACAGCCCCTCTGCCTTCCCAACCCCTCAAACCACAGGCTAGCACACCGCTCCCCAGGCGGGCCAGCCCACTAGGACCCTCCCTGGGGCCCCTCACCTCTGCCTGCCGAGGGGCTGTTCCTGGCTCTGCGCTGGGCCAGCGAGCCGGGGGCAGAGGAGCGGGGACCCGGCCACACCCTCTGCTCCCATCCCTGCAAGCCGAGCGCGGTGGGAAGACTGACAGACTGTGAAAGAGGAGAGAAGGCGGGGGCACACAGATGGTCAGGGAGACGGACGGACGGACGGATGGACACAGGCGTAATTACCTGTGGGCCGGGCCCCATGGGCCCCATGCCTCGGGGAGGGTTCATTCTCTGCATGGATCCTCCCATGTTGGGGTGCCCTGCGTGAGAGAGTGGGCGAGTGGTGAGTGGCAGAGGCAGGCAGAGAGGGAGGAGGAGCCCCTCCGACTCCCCACCCCCCGGCGGCCCAGCTGTCCCTCTCTACCTTGTTGTCGTGTGGGGTCCATGGAGTTGGGCAGCAGTGGCTGTGTTCCAGGAACTCCTCCCGGAGGCTGAAAGAGATGAGACAGGGGCTGAGGGCTGCTCCCCAGGCTGGAGGACAGAGGGGGACACGGCTGCCTGCCCCAGCTCCCCCCCTGACCAGCTAGGGCCACTCATGGTCTCCTCAAGACCATTCCTGCCGCCTGCCAGCTGGGGAGGGGGAGGTCCCCTGGGCGTGGCCGCCAGCCTGGGGGGTCTTAGCGCAAACTGTGGCACGTGTGGGTCCGGCTTCGTCTCCGGGCAAGGAACCACTGCTCCACCCTGCTGCTTTGGGGGCCTGCCTCCCGCCAGAGCGGGGTCTTGCTCTGGCCCTGTGGCCTGCCACCACGGCTCAGCAGCAACAGCCCCTCCCTCACTGCCAGCCCCCTGCCCTGTCTCTCCTTTGCCTCCTGGCGATGTAACTCATTTTGTCCTTGTCTCTAAACGGTGGGGATCCAGAAACCCACTAGCTAAAATCCTGTGACAATGGGCAGTCCTTTTTAAGGGGCAACAGGAGAAGAGGTGGCTTTGAGATGGAGGCAGAGGGAATGAGGCCCTGAGGCCCCAGGAACCTACTGGCAGAGCCAGAATGACCACTTGGGGCCCCCGAGTCCCTCATGTGGAATTCCACTTTCCCACACCGGGGGTGCAGCGGCCCCGGAAGCCTCACAGTAACATCCCTGCATCCCTGCGTCTCTGCCCCGGGCTCACTGGCCCTGCGTGGAGCCAGGAACAGCCCCTCAGCAGGGCCCGTGGCACACCTATTAAAATGATTTACTGGGACCCGGCTGGCGTGGCTCAGTGGTTGAGCATTGACCTACGAGCCAGGAGGTCACAGTTCAATTCCCAGCCAAGACACATGGTTCAATGCCCAGGTTGCAGGATCGATCCCCAGGAGGGAGCATGCTGGAGGCTGCCGATCAATGATTCTCTCCCATCATTGATGTTTCTATCTCTCTCCCTTTCCCTTCCTCTCTGAAATAAAATATTTATATATTTATTTTTCTTTTTTTTTTTTTTCCAAAGTGATTTACTTGGGACCCAAGTTATTCTAGCTGACATTGGAAAAAAGAGAGTGAGCGCTGGGGTGAGAGTTTACTCTGGAACTCTGTGCCCGAGGACTGAACATGGGCCCTGCCTTTGAGAGGAAAGGTCTTTGGGAAAGCAGGTCACGCTTTCCCACCTGCAGGTGGCACCTGTGATGGGGGAGCCGGGGGCCCACCTCCCCCAATCTGCTCACTGCTGCGGGAGGGCTGAGAGGGACACTGGTCTGCCTCTGACCCAACAATGAACTCCAAACCGGTTTTGGAACAAGGTGGTGAAAGGGAAAGGATCAGTCTTCAGTTTAGCTTCCAATGCGGTGCGTATGGTGTCTAGGGCAGGGGAGGCGTATGGGAAGGCCACAGGCCCAGGGGGCACTTGATTTTCATGAAGTGGCACCTCCTACTCCTACCCATGGGGTGCGGGGGAGAGAGGGAACGGGACACTGGACGACGACAACCAGTCTTTCTCTCCCATTTCTCTCTCCCGTCGGGGTTCAGCCTGCTCTGACCTCTCAGCCCTCTTCCTCTCCCAGTTCCCAAGCTCCGAGTCACTAGGCTGCTGTGTGTCTGCCCGCTCGGGGGGCTGGGGTATTTCTTGAGCCTGGTTACACCTGAGGCTGTTTGCTTTGGGGGTCCCAGGGTGCTGAGGCAGATGGGGCTGGGCAATGTCTGGAAGCAGGTAAGAGGCTGGTTCTTACAACACTGTGGCAAGCAAGGACCCTTAGGTTCTTGTCCCTCTACGGGTCCTCTCGTCGCCCTAAGCCAAGAGGCCACGTGAGCCCGAGCCAGTCCTGCCGCCTCTGCTCCCTCCACCTGCGCTGGGTGGGGTGGCGGGAGGCTTCTGTGTGACGGGAGGCTTCTGTGTGACGGGCAGGCCTGAGTCACTCTCCCTGGACTCCCAGGGGCACATCCACCCCCGCTTGGAGGACAGAATGCCTTGAGTTCCCAGGAAATGGGAAGACGGGCGTCACGTTCTGAAGGGCGGCAGGAGGTTGGGAAGACCGGCCTGTGTTACCAGGTAAAGGTAACGACTCATTCTCCATTTGCTCTTGGGCACTTGCTCCTGATTCACTGACAAACAGAAACACACATTTCCTCTCATGTCCCTTCCTGGCTGGAGGGAGGGCCACAATGAGGACAAGAAAGCATCCCTGGGGCAGAGCCGGTTCAGGCCAGGAGGCTCTGCGCAGGCAGAGGGAGAGTCGCGGCTGGGCTGGGTGTGTGATGGCAGAGGCGGCCTGCTGGCCGACTGGTTACAACCAAGGCAGGGGCCGCACCTCCACACCCACGGGAGCTGAACGGTCCGGAGCGGGAGCTGGATTGGAGCCCAGCTCACGGGGGGACTTCGGACATCATTCCCCCACCACCCTGGCCTGTCTCCTCATCTGTGAGGTATCGGGAGGGGGAGGGGGGGGGGCTCCTTGCTCAAAAAGCCAAGTCTCCAATTCTTCTTTTCTACGTTTGTCTCCTTCATGTCAAAATAGGAAACACAAGACTTCTGAAGAAAAGAAAAAAAAAGGGGGGGGGGGGGGTAACCTGATAGGCAATTTAACTTCAAAGTCCGGGGGCCTGGTTAGAAGCATCGCCCCGTGGTCCCTGCCCCCCCGGCTCACGCAGGGCTTTCTTGCGGAGCCCTGAGAATGGAAGGATCCCGCTCAGAGAACACTCAGCTAGCTGCAACCAAACTCCTAGCTCCAGAGGCAGCAAGCGCTGGAGGCACTGGTGCTGCTGTCAGGTTTTTAAGGGCTTTTGCAAGGTCACTCAAAGAATTATATATAAAAAAATATTTTGGCATTGAAAAAAAAAATTTTCCCTGAGGTTTCTTTAAGGTTTCGTCTGTCTTCTAAAGAGGATATTCGTCTTTCCGTCACCAGCTCGCTCCCGCCCCGGGATGGGCTGCACCAGGGAGGGGGCCGGGGCCAGCTCTCCAGACCACCTAGAACGGCCAGCACAGGGCCAGCACCAGGCGCACCACCAGGCCGTCCTCCTCCTGTGAGCAGGCCGCTTTCTAATCACAGGAACAAATCCTTGCTTGTGTTGAGCTGGGTCTGGGAAGCAGGCAGACCCAGCTCAACCCAAAACTCCCGAGCGTCCTGCTCCGCTGCCTCCCGGGCTCCTGATCTAAGCATTCCTACGGGCCATTTCTCCCCTTAATAGCAGGATTCCATTTACCAGGCTTGGCAATTCACTAAAGCTTCCAGGAAAAAATGCACGTTGTCAATTAACTTCATTAAGGAGGAAGACCCTTTTCCAAGAAGGGGCTGGGAGGGGGGGGAGGGTGTTACCACCTTCCCTGGCAGAGCTGAAACCCTGCATCCCCACCCCAGCCGCTGCTGCTGTGCCCTCCAAGCTCCAGCACTGCTGCCCGTGCCGCCCATGAGGGGCAGGCAGATGCTGCCCGGGGCTGCACCCGGGCACAGGGCCCTCCCGGGGACCTGCTTGCAAAGTGACCTTGTTAAGACCTGTCCCCCCATCTCCCAATCCTTTCCTCACGTTTTGGTGGAAGTCAAAGTCCAACTGGGGTCAAGGGTGGCCGAGTGGGGGGGGGAGAGAGAGAGAGAGAGAGAGAGAGAGAGAGAGAGAGAGAGAGAGAACATAAAGAGGTACCGTACCTGGTTTCCCATTCTGATCGGGGGCCTGGGGCCGCCTGCGTATCGCGGTGACATAAAAGGCTGCAATTACAGGGAATCAGTTCAATGACAGCCTGCGCTCCGGCACAGGGACACACACAAATGCGCTCCACTCCACCAAGTCCAGTTGGGTTACCACTAGCCATCTCCTAAATCCTCTTTCTCCCAGGGGCCTCTTCCCTCTGGGCACAACTTCCTTTGGGCAGAGGGAACAGGAGGTGCCACCGCACAAGGACCCTGCCTCCGCCTTCGTTCACGGAGACCGACTCTGGGCGCTGGGGCAGCAGTGGGGGTTTGGCATAGGATACGGAAGAATAGTGACATCCATGTGGGCAGGGGAGGGGAGCTTCTGCTCGTGGGAAGGGCAAACCGGAGAATCAGACACGCGCTGTTCGGGGTGTGCAGAGCTGGACGCGCGCACACGGAGACCGCTGACAGAGGGTGGGGAGGGGGAGCGAGGGCGGAGGGGACACACAATGACACTGTGGGGACACCGGGCTCCCTAACTCAGTGCAGGGAATGAGCAGGAAAAGCTCTCAGCAGCGAGTGCACAAAGAAAAGGCTTGGATGCAGCTTCGATTACAAACGAATGGTTAACCAAACTCAAAAACCAAACCAAAAGTGAGAGAGGAAAAAACAAAAACGCAAAGGCCACTGACAAGGTCACAGAAATGGTTTTCCTTTCTTTTGGTTTCGGATCCAGGCTGGGTGTGACGTCCAAGGAATGAAAATTCTCTTTAGAAAATAGTTAACTTTTTTTTTTTTTTTCCTCTCAAAAACTCTTCATTTGTCAATCAAGACTCGAAGGCAATGGCAAAGCACGTTGTGATTTTTGTTTTTCCTCTGCTGGCTCTGTCCTCCTGGGGCCCCGTGCCCCCCGGCCGGCCGGGCGGGCGAGCCAAGTGCGTTACCTGACTGTGGGGTCCCATCATGCTGCTGGGATTGTGGGGTGGAGGCTGTGCGTGCGGCGAGGGCTGTGACCCCGGAGGACCCTGTGAGGCCAGACAGTAGAGGCAGGTTACAGATCACAGCACATGGAGAAGCGCAAGAGAAGCTTAAAAGAACAAAAATTAAACCAAAACGAAGGGTGGGCGGCGGGCGGGCGTGCGGGGGGGCGGGCTCTGGTTGGTGGGGAGGTGTGAGCTGCTGCCGGGGTCGCCAGCTCGTCGGTGGAGCGGGAGGGAGAGAAGCTGGTAAACGCCTGCCTAGGGATTGACAGGGGGGAGAAATCAAACCAAGCAAGCTCCTTTCTCAAAGCCCCTGCACAGGAGCAGGGCCCAACACTGCCTGGCGTGGGAGCGGAGTTTGCCATGTTAAATACATTGGTTGATGTGGGCGCAGCGAGCAGTGTGCACAGAAAGCGACCCGGTCTACCAGGCGTGAGGGAGACCTTGCCCTCAAGGTGCGCCCAGTCTGGAGGACAGGTGCAGGTCCAGGGCCTTCGAGGCCCGGCTCCTGATGCTGAAGGAGCGGACAGAAGGAGCGGGGTGGAGCCCAGACTGAACAAACGGGGGAACGAGAGGAAGAGATGGCTACGGAGCAGCCACGAGGGCTGGGCACTAATTCACCTTCCCTGGAAAGGGGCTCCGAGAGGTGGAGTTTCTCATTTCTATTTTACAGACGAGGAAACCACGTCTCAAGGATTGCAGGGACTTGGCCGCCACCACACGGCTGGCAAATGGCAGAGCGCGGACGCGAAGCCTGGTGGGTCCAAGGCCCACCCCAGCCCTGGAGCCACGAGCTGGAGCCGGAACGTGCAGCACAGGGAGACTGGGCTGCAGGCCCCTGCCTGCTGCGTGGGTGGGTGTGGGGCTGGGCTTCCCACTTCAGTGGGGGTGAGCCATCCCTGGTTCCAAGCTGACCCCTTCCTCCCTCCCAAAGCCCTGGCCATTGCTGGCCTCGACTCCTCCCAGGAGAAACAGGCAGATGAATTCACTTAAACCATGGGGTTGGTCAAACTGTTGGGCTGCAACCTGTTAGTGGGTGGTGAAAGCAACTTAGTGGGTTGCAACCATTCTTTTTTTTAAAAAAGCTGGGAACTGAATAAAAATACAGAACAAAGATATTGGAGACCTTTGTGTGTTCTAAGGCAAATACTGCATTAACTTCTATCTCATTTGTAAATACGTGTGTATGTGCTGGGTCACAACGTCACACGTATTTCCGCCTGCAGGTCACCGTCGGCGAGCACGAAAAGTCCGCCCTCCGGCCCACGGGGGCACTGGGAGCCGGACGCTGGTGCTGAGGAGCCCTTCCCAGCTCCCTCTTATCCCCCGCAGCGCTGCTGTTACCCTTGGAAGTTGCCTTTGAGAAAAATGTAAAGCATGCATGGGAATGGGTGGGGTTCCGTGAGGAGAGACAGGGAGAAAGAATCTTTGAGACACACAGGTTTTCCTCTCTTGCCTTCTTGCTCAGAGCCAGGCTGCCGACCTCTCACCTGCCTGCGCCGGTGGGTGTAGAGGTGCAGGGAAGAGGTGAGCGGAGAAAGACAGAGGAGCTGATTCTGCAGGAACCCCGGGGAGCCACCAAGGACAGGCCTGGTTGTGCGTGCCCACGCCAAGGGCTGCTCACTTCTGGAAAGCTCCGCGGAGCAGATGTTCCCCTACCTGCCATGCTACTAATTTCAACAAGTGTGTGTCTTTCTAGCGGCTGCCAGCAACGGCATGGTTTGTTACCATGAGCAATTTTCTTAATTAACAGACATTAATTAGCCATTTAGCAATTTTGCAAGCATTTGTTTAGCGGCTTTCCTAAACATGAATACCACTGTGATAATGGCACTGATTAGAGGGTCCCCTAATTAACAGTACAGGGAAGGAAAATTGAAATCACATAAATTAAAAAGGAAGGGGAAGTTAATGAAGGCGGGACATATTTGCACCTGCAAGTCTTTTGTACCATAAAACTTGGGTGCAATGTAAACAAATAAGATAATTTGAAGCCAGCCCCTAAAAGGGGAAGAAGAAAACGAACGGAGGAGGAGGGTTCAAGGGTGAGGTCCAGTTGCCAAGAGGGGGCACAAAGGCCTTCTGTGGGTTCCTCAGCTCTTGGCATGAAGAGAGCACCTCCTCCCTCTAACCCTTCACACACACACACACACACCCGGCGACAGCCTGTCTTCCTCGGGAGCGGCCTGCCTTTGACCAGGGCCCTCGCACCTGGGCGTCCGTTAGCCCGGCGAGTTTAGTTAGTAGTAGCGGACTCCGTGACTGATGATAGAAAACAAAGTGCCCAGAAGTGTCTACGTAACTCAACAGGGGCCTCCATAGGCAGATGGCAGTGCTGACGAAGGGTCAGTACTTGAACCTGAGTCTCGGGCTTGACTGTCTCTTAGATGCCCTAAGGTTCCCAGGAGGCTCTGTGTTTTCCTCAGGGCTCCCCGAGGGTGAATGGACATGGCAGGGTCTACCTCCATGCAAGTCTGCTCAGGACAAAGGCTGGTGAATCGTGAGACCCCAGCCCAGCCCGTGGTGAGCAATGGGGAGTGGGCTAAATCTGGGGAGGAGCAGCAGCTCAGAAGTCTCCCCTCTGATGGGAGCTGGGGTTCAGAACACTGAGGACAAGGGAACCTGGCCCGACCAGCCGGTCAAGCAAAGAGAAAATCCCACCTAGCTCACCTCCCTGGGGGAGCTCCTCAGCACCCCGTCAGGCACCCTGATGCCAGGCTCTGCTTCTCTCCTCCCAGCGCGGCCCCAGCACCACGGGGCTCTGTGCACCAGACAGCTCCTCCCGTTTACAGTGGGTCTCCCACGCCACCCTGAGCTCTGTCCTCAGCCTCTGCTACCTCCACTCACCTGGAGCTTTCCTCTCACTAACCGGTGCCAGGGCTGTCCCTCAGACTGCTCAGCAGAGGGTGGGACCTGGTACCCTCGGCACATTCCCAGGAGCAGAGAGCAGGGCCCCATGTTGGGGAAATGCTGCAGTAAGATGTCAGAATCCTCTACCAAGACCCTCTTTTGTCTGCCTCCTATCTAGCCTTTGGTCTGAGTGGGTAGCAAGTTGAGACCAAGGCTGCATGGCTAGTCAATGGTAGAGTGATATCCCAGCCTGGTGTTGGAGCCCCGGGATCTTAGCTAGTCCAAATCCTACACGCCGTGAGCAGCAGAGGAAGGACCAGTGGACGCTGAAGGACTGTGGGGGCTCTAACCACTCACCGCATACAGCTCCCAGGCCAGGGGGGAGGATGAGGACACAGTGACAAACAAGACAAGGTGACATGTAAACTGAGGCCATGTGGCCACAGACGCAGGCCACGGGGCCGGGATGAGAAGAGCTGGTCAGGGCTCCTGCGTAACAAGGCCCCCTCACCAGGGGGAGAGGGGCAACTCTACAAATCCCTCCACTGAGCCTGGGGAAAGGAAGCAGGAGCTGTGCCCAGTTCCTGCCCGGGCCTTCGCCCTGCCCCAGACCTGTTAATGGGCTTGCCATTCTGCCTTAGACGTTCCCAAGATCTCCGACCGGAGATACATAATTCCCACATTTCCTTTCAATTCGTTTTCCTGTAATTTCAACACTGGGTAGTGTTACATCTAGCAGCTTCTGAGAGTCATTAGGAGGGGCCCAGGGAGGCCGAGGCGAACGCCAGGCCATTTCACGAAAACTCTGGAGCCAGGACACAGGGAAGTGAGAGCCGTTGTCCAGCACTGGCTGGAGGGGAGCGAGCATGCCCCAGCACAAGGGGTCCGAGGTCTGGAAAAGCACCCAGAACGCTCAGCAGCGCCCTGTGCCTCCCAGTCACGTCTTGGCTAAGTCCCTGGGTTCCACCTGAAGCCATCCATCCTCCAGAGACGGGCTTGTGGCTTCCCAGTTACACAGACCTGGCTTCCAAGCCCAGGTCCTCAGGGCGTACCGAGTCCACGGGGACCTTCTGCAAACACCGCAGGGTCGCCGGGGCCACGGCACAGCGACAGTGGTAGGCAGAGAGAAGGTCCTGTCTACCCCAGACCCCACGCCAGGACGCACTCACTGCCCGTTTTCCAGGGAGGGTGGCAGCTGGACTTGCTCAAAGCCCATCCGTCCTCCGGGAAAGCCTGGATGCTCCC